CCCATTATTAGAGAAAGAATGGCAGTGTCTAGGTTTTGCTATTGGTAACCCAAAATACGAGGCTGATTTATTTATGCCAAAGCTGCTTTAAAAATCTTTGATAATGGAATGTGAATGTAATCAACACAATTTTACATACTAATACCCCCATCTATTTTGATGTTTGCATTAAAATTTCATACAGTTAAACAAAATACTTTTCAGGATATTAAGGAGGTTCGATCCTGATCTTTTGAGCAGATTTTGGTCTGGGCATTTATTTCTAAAATTCTGCATCATTTTTAAGTTCTAACATTTAATCTGGATTCTACAATGCAAATTAAACTATATCCAATGAAAAAAACACTATTAAATTCCATCCAATTAAGATTAAGCCAGGAACTATATTTTGTGGCGGAAGGTTTTTGAGAAGAAAATGATCAATTTTTCCCTTTTGAAATATATACAGTACTGTTATGTTTAGATTCCTATTTTTCCATGCTGGTTGCACACAGAGCTGTTGTTTGCAGTGAAATGTTTCATACTGGTCCTGAAATACCTATTCAATTATTTCTTACGAATTCTTTCATTATATTGTGACGAATATAGTAAATGTATTTTGAAAGTCCAGGAAAATATTGAGCCAATTTTAACATAAAATTAACACTTTTTAGTAATATCTAAAAATATACATCATAGACCCCCATTTTTGTTTTTCTTTTCTTAATATATAAGATAACTTTGATCAATCTGCTTAAATTCAGCAAAAGTTAAAGACTTTAAATTAATTTTGTTGCTTGTTATATTTTTAAAACCAGAAAAATAACATTTTGTGAGTGCAGAAAGGTCAAATAATTGATTATGCAAAGCAATCAGAAACATTTCCATAGTCACAATTTTAATGTGTCTTTTTTAAAATAGACTAATAGTTAATTTTGTCCCATGATTTATTCGGATAAAAACATTGGAAGGAAAACGTCGAAGATGTGATTTTTGAAAAAGACACAAATTTCAGAGCAAAAAGGTCAAATTAAATGTACTGTAGCGCCAAAAGAAGCATATTGACCCCCCATTTTTTGTTTTGATTTTTAATTAAGCTTTACGTGTAGAAACTAAAAATACACTTGACAAAAAAGTTTAAGACTTTAAATATCAGGATCCAGCCTCGTTAAGATGAACACAACATTAGTTTTTGTCTAGCGCCGCAAGGCACGAATGTTACCAACAGTTCGTCCGCAAATCGTTTAAACGTCTCACGTGCTTCTTTTTAATAATCTTTACTGCCATTTTGCAATAAATTATCGTACTTTCACTTGTATTATTAAAATTATTTGAACTTTGTCCAAATATATTTTTTTTTAATTCATTCCTTTTGCGTAGATTTTAAGCATGGTCAAATTTAAGACTAATGTCATATATGAAGATAACGAAGAGTGATCAATCTTATAAATATAATAAACAAAACGAAAATCGTGAACAGGGCAAAAACACGAACCCCTGGAAACACCAGAGGTTGGATCAGGTGCCTAGGAGGAGAAAACCGCTCACACCCGCCGTGAGACCTATGTATTGATCAGGTATAGTAAATAACGTTAAACGTTGACTGATCGTCCACTCATTTTCTTCTTCCTCGGCTGAAATGTTAAAAGTCTGATAATCTGACTTAACGCCAGACATTTACTTAAAATACGGGATACAATTTACATTATAAAGATACAGAAGTTGCATCAAATACCAATGTAGATGGAAGTAACAAAAAATGTGCGTGCAGAATGGCCTTGAACGTCACTTACTCTTAAATTCGACGTTACAGTAGAGCTACATGAACGCTCAGCGAAATGAATATGTAAATGCAATATGAAAAATTAAAACATTCTTTTATGAAATAGTTTAAAACTAGATGCTCCTGCACAAGTTGGGAGTATAGATGAAATAAAACGTATATGTAAGAGATTTAATAGATTTATGGATTAACTGAAAATGAGTCCCGAAAAGAAACGTCATAACGACGTCGGTACATTCTTGACGTGCGGCGAAAGGAGAGACCTAACCTTATGTTTATCTCAATATTTTTACAAAAGTATTTCTTGTATCTGCATGAAATTTTAAGGCAAAGGTCAAAATAGATAGATGTATTAGTAATAAAAATTTTGTTGATAACTTTCGATTATCAAAGATTTTATTGCAGATGTTACATTACTTTTAGATCAACCCGCGTGTCTGTCCGGTCGAAATGAAAAAAAAGGAGATGCACAATGACAATATGTACTAACGATTCTGTGAAAGTTTCTTTAATAATTATTCAGTGGTAAAAGAGGAGTTGCAGATAAAGGATGGCTACTCCCAAGTGCTATGGACGTATGAAAGGACGTACGGACACCCCTATCACTATATACCCCAACATTTCAAGCGGAGGATATAAAAATCTAAGGTGGTCCTTTCACTAGTTATACAATATTTTCCTGTTCGTGTCTGTGTGTCTGTCTGGCTGTCCTTAATTCTTGGTCTAGATCTTTATCCATATATATAAATATTAGGGTAAGGCCCCTATGAGGGATAGAAGTATTACATGGAAAGATATAAAAAATATTTAAAACAATTCTCTCTCTCTCTCAAAAAAGCAGAGAATAGTGAGTAAATATGTGTTCAACTATCCTCAGATAGTGCAGATTCAAGCGTTTGAACCATGGGCATGGACACATTAGGGGATAAAAATGTAACTTGAGAATAAATCTGGAATTTTATAAAAAAGTCTTTTCAAGAGTAGAAATATCATATCATACATCATATTAATTAGCAAACATTCAACAACGTCTGTGATTTCAAGTTTGCTATTTTAAATATTGACCTCGGATTACTGTAAGGGTAAAATCGGGGATAACTATTCACATAATGCATGTACAGTATGCATAAAATAAAAAAAAGAATTCTTAAGAACAGTAAAGCCAATTTAGTCATATTGAAAGTGAATCATATTGTGTGGATCCAAGTTCAATTAAGTCATAAATTGTAGGGGTAGCGTGGGGTTACAATAAGTAAGGAGAGTTGATTGTGAGTTTACTTACTTCTTTATTGCATTCCTATTTGTATATCTTACTTTCTGTAAATAAGGTTTTTCTTTAGGATAATTTATGTTCATGAAATTAGAATATGAATTCATCATAATTTATGCTTTCTTTGGCCAGGAGCTAGCTGGAGTCTAATTTTTAAAGGCTTCTTTGAGGCCTGATCATAGATCACTTAATTTAAGAAGTGGCATGTATGTTTACTTTTTTCTAACTTAACCTTGGCCATAACTCATAGACGGTTGGCGCAAGGGCTTTTATTTTTCACAAGTGTATTCATTATGACAAGACCTTTTTTGGATACCAACATTTTTGAACTCATGACCCTGTTCTCAAGAAATAAAGAAGTAAATATTCAATTGATGTAAATATACGCAGATGGACCCCCGGAACTGGTGCCTTACTTCGTTTCTTGTGGAAACTGTGTTGACCTTGAAGTTTGACATACTTTTGAAAAACTTTAGCCTTGGCCATGAGCTGCCATATAGTAGCATAACAATGTTTCACAAACACATCTTGTTTTTTATTGAATGACAAACACAAATATAAGAAATAAAAAGTAAAGTAAATAAACGCATTTAAAAATCTTTTCTTGGAAAAAAGTAAGTGATTTTGAAAATATCAGATCCCAGATTTTCACTTAACCATTTGAAAATGATAGTGGAAGATACACATCCCTTAGGACAAGGATTGACTATTCTCTTTTGTTTCTTATATAAGAGTTTAACGCTGTATCTAAAATATACAATACTCTTTTTCTAGCACAAGAAAAAAAGAGTATTGTATATTTTAGATAGAGTTTTAAATTCTTATATAAGAAACAGCACAAGATACAAGATATTTTATTGACTAGTCAAGTGCCCAGGAAGGGTTTGTAACACATAAAAGTACAATTTAAACATAATCACCACAGAAGACAATAATAATGCATATTTGTGTATAATTATAAGTAAGCTACATTGTGTCTAGTGGCCTTGATCCTTTGATAATACATACATGTTATGGTAAATGTTAATACAAGTATATCTATTTATACATTTGAATGTTCTTTTGTATCTCAGAAATAAATTTCAAAAACATGCATATATATGCTAATAAATGTTTTTATACATTAGTTCTTTTACTGTTTTCAATATTTTTTTTTCAAACAAACAAAGAACTGCCATACTTTATTATTTTTAAATCCATTCTAGTTTCTCAGTAGGTGTCCAAAAAAAAAAAAAAAGAAGAAATTTGTCTCAATTTTTGAAATGGTTTCTATATCACATTAAATTGAGAGCATACTCTTAATTCAGGTGGAAGGCCTGTATATTTTCCCTTTTCAATATTTAGTTGATGTACAGGAATTTGGAGTTTAGATACAGCTTTCATGATCAAAATTATTAACAATTGTGAAATAGTGCTCTCTTCCAAAGTTATGTTTGAATATAACATAAGTTCTTAGATTGCCATTATCTTGGTGCTCATTTTCTTTATGCCATAGGTTTATAAATAATGTTTTATAATACTTGATGACTTCTTTTTAAATGAATTGGGACTTTGTTTTAATGTGTCAATGTTTTTGAATTCGGATAACTGAGTCAACATTGTTTGGATGGATGCAAACCATGATGGTTTATGTTGAAGGAAAATGCTCTTCAACACCGGATATCCTTTCCTGAGTAAGATGAAAAATGGATGCATTGTTACAAGTCGAAATCGATATTTTATCATGGCTTGAATAATTTAATAATACAATGGAAAATCGTCCAACTTCAGAGAGAACTGAAATATGTAAATTGTCTATGCACACCAGGAATAGCCTTGCAGTATTTAATGTGCAGTGTTTCGCATTACAATTTCTTAAACGTTATGTCCATGGTAATATCTCTATTCTTAATTTTGGAAGCCAAAACGGCTAGGCCCTCCACCACCCCACCACCCCCAAGTCTCACCCCACCAATTTCACAACATATACAAGAATAGGAACGATTATATGATCAAATAAATGAAGGTTAATACTGACATTATGGCAATTAGACATAACTTCCTTTTTAATTTTGAGCATGATTTTAAAGCCTTTTTATATATAACTCTTTTTTAGCAAAGGTAAAAGATCCTAAGTTACAGAGCTTAATGCAAAGATATAATCGTATTGCTGAACACAATGCACATGTATTTTATCAATATGTACGGAATGAGGAATTAAATCATTTACTGCTAACATATGATAAATACTTATAAAGAGCAAAGTTTATTTCAGGGACCATATTTGAACCTAATGATTAGTGTGAGAGTCTTGTGACTTCCCACACGTCTCCTTACATTGTACTTCAAGTATCTCTCACGATTAACATGTACAGCTCAAAAAGCGTCTGTTGTCACTCATTTTGTTAGGTCAAGATGTACATTTTAAAAAGAAATACACTTATTTCAAGAAGCTATTTTGTACATTGTATCTCAAAAACTTAACCACATTCAATTTACCTTCAAAGGAACACTAAAGTATGCTGTTATATGTGAGAGGTGACACTTTTATTCGTATTAATTTTCGTAGCTCATCTTAACCAAAGGCTGAAGTGCACCTTATGTAAACATTAATGTAAGAATGACCCTTAATGTAAAAGTAAAAAAAAAAGATTAACAACAACAATGCATGCACATTAAGTATTTTTCTTTAAAAATAAGTTTTTTTTCAGTTTTATTTTCATAAATTTTGATTCCCCATTTCAGCATAAATATTTGGACTTTACGGACAAGATCCAGTAAATGTTTATGATGCTAAATTCTCATATCTGGTTTAAATCATATGATGTACCGCAGCATAAATTTTTCGGTAAATACAACAAAATGATGAACTGTCTTTTTACAATAAAAAAAATCATCTATAAATTTGGGACTTTTTTCATATCACACAAATCAAAATTATCCTGGTTGCATACTGTTTCTCAGAGAACGGTAATTTGTTTGTTCTTGACTTCTTTTTTATAAATTAGATTGAATATAGGTATCCAGATTACTTTTAGTATGATTTCAAATTGAATATCGTGAACATGTTTCACTTTCTACATAATTTAATAATACCTATAAAGTACGGTAAAAAATTATGACGTCATAATAGATCTGACTCCAAGAGGCTGTCTTAACTCATTTTCATTTATCGTAACTTTAAGAAATTGCGAAATTCTACATGTATTGTGTCTTTCACATTCGTATCTTTCTACAAAAACTCATATAACACCTTTGGTATTTATTCACACATCTCTTTGTCCCCGTACAAAATGTACCGAAATACAGCACCTATTGTACTGTTTAGCCGTCGTATATTTGTGAAGTTCAGCCTTTTTAATTCTTCTATATGACCAAGTTTATAGACATGTAGCCCGTAACTGTGAGACCATTTGTAATTCTGGTTATACAAAATCATTGCGTGTGGAAAGAAAACGCAATGATGATCTTGAACCTGAATTAAATCCTTATTCTCTTTGGCGAGCTTCATTGCCATAGTCACCGAGTTGTCTCCCCACTTCGCTGGATCATAAGATATGTAACTTTCGATCCATTTATTTATAAATTGGGAGTTCTTTGCTGCCAGAATTAATGCACTTCCAAGGGAACCATCATGCGCATTGCCCATTGTACATTCATTGTTTCTGAAGACATTTAGTGATCTTAGGATTATTTGATCTGTATCACAATATATGCCACCATACTCTAAAACATTGTATAATAATATGTTATCAGTATATCGAAATTGTTTTCCCCTCCAACTTCTGTATTCCTGAAATATTTCACAGAAAAGAATTAAACTTAAAGAGTAAGGGTTTAACCTTTATAGGAATATCATAATCTACTTTAAGCATAACTAAGAAAAAATTGTAGATAAAAAATCTTGAATCTTTCGGTAAAGTTTTTAAAAAATGATCAAATACAAGACAAAATTAGATGAACATTGCAATTTTAAAACAAAATTTAATTGCCTTGATTTTTTAAAGGGTAGTTCAAATGCATTTTTTTACTATCCTGAATTGCCTGTCGAATTTGTAACATCTCCTTGCATTTTAATTTTTTTTCTCTCAAGTCGGATAGAAAATGGAAAGTTTTTTCGTCGTGCGTGTCTGGATTATGAAATCTTGAAATCTTGCTTTTAATAAATAATGATAATTTTCAATTTAATAAGTTATATCTATGATGCTTGTGGTCTTACCTTTCAAAATAAGGAGTCGAACTATATCTGATTTATGTTGCACCCACGAAATACGTCTTCCTGAGATATATAATGGAGCTGAAACTCTAATATGAATTATATTGGGAATAACAGTGAGTAAAAGATCCCACAAGTCACCAAATGGTAAAAAATCAGAAAAGAGTAAAATTAAACAAGGCTTTTGCTTTTTATAAGCACTATAGAAACTAACGAAATGAATAAGCTCAAAATTTTGTATTCCAAACCAAATGTAGTGTATTATGTTCGGTACAACTCCTTCACCAGAACAAAATTTGAAAATGATTAAGTTAATGCATCTGTTTGGAAATTCAAACACCGGAAGCGATTGGTTGAAATTTGTCACGGCGTTAATAGATACATTACTGCTGTTACACATTGGAATAAGCTGTTTTCTACCATCTATTGAACGTTTGTAGAATTCAGAATTTATATTTAGGCACTGTCGAGTTGATTTAAATGTCCAGTCGCCTCCGCCTATGGCTTGGATATCTAAATGGAATTGAAAAAGCAATCACATGGAATATTATATGCCATCAATAACAAACATGAAAGATATTTCTAACAAAGGGTTATATATTTTTAGTTTTAATTACTAATATTTAATTCCTTGGGTTTAATTTATTTCAATATTAAACATTACATAATTTTCACTATTTTTAAATCTTCCTGTCATTACGTTTTCGCGTAGAAAATGGTTTAAAATGTCAAAAGATGAGTTTTAATGATATTTTTGTACAATATCCCCCATTTACCTACCTCCATAATACTTTTGATAAAGAGCCATTTCTCTTTCTTTCAATACTGATAACATTTCAATGTCACATGATTGTTCTTGAATCACTGTGACAGTATTTCTAGAATCCCGGAAAAGGAGAACCATGATAAGATAGAAAACTACCGGCAATAAAAGAAGACCTCCACATGATGGTACTATTCTGCAATATGGTAAGTTTAAAGGTTTAAGATGGTTTGAAATGCAGATAAAAAGTTAGATAAAAAATAAAAATATAAAATAGATAAATAGATTTCCACATTCTTTCAAAAAAAAAAAAAAAAAAAAAAAAAAAAAAAATCAAGTAGGAGAGGATACATTTTTGAAACCGTAATTGAACATATTATACATGTCTCATTGAACACATAATGTAAAGTTATGCAAAACATCTGAAAATGGAGTATCCTGAAGTTTCATAAAAATAATAGTTAAGCAACTTTTATTGTTAATCAAACTGTAAACGCACATTCGACCCTATATATTGATCCCCCTGAAAACAGAAAAAAGTAAACATACGTCACTTCATAAATTAAGTGTTATGATTAGGATTAAAAGTGACCTTCAAAATTAAGGCACCAGCTAGCTTCTGGTTGAAATAGTTTTTTTTTTTTAATTTCGGAAGTAAGCAAGAACTCAATTTTATTCATTTGGGGAGAGAAAGAAAGATGGAGTTGGGGGCAAAATGATCACAATGGGGATTCAAAGTTATGCAATGGAATGAATAGGAAAAGATCTTTTAAAAATCTTATTCTCAGATATAGCAGTGCTATGATTAGTTATATTAATATGCAGGTATCCTTAGGAAGTGCAAACTCAGATTTGTTCAAATTACTTGCCCTAAGGATAAGATGGGACCACAATATGGGTCAAATATTTACATAGAAATATATTAAACTAAATCTAAATTGTCTCAATCAACAACACAAAGATTAATATTAATATGCAAACATCTTCAGGTATTGTTCATTTCAGTTCGAATCATCGTACTGGGGTTAGGATAAGGCCCCTGTTAGGTATAAAAGTTTACATAGAAGTATATAGAAAACAAATCAACAAAAAAAAGTCTTCTAATAAAATAGCAAGAATACTCTTATAAGCATGCAGTCATCCTAAAGTAGTACATATTCAAGCGTTCGAACCATGACCTCTAGGATATTAGAGTGTGGACATATAAGGCACAATTTAATAAGGGACACAATTTAACTTGAGAATAGATCTGGAATTAAGTCATGACTTATTGTGTCTAGGGTGGGGTAACAATAAATGAAGAAAAACTATATTGAAAAGTAAAAAAATATATTTTTGAAATCTTTCTTGAAGAAAAGCAGGGTCAGGTTGGTTCACGTAACCATTTCACCCATATGTCTTATGAAACGAAGCTGGAAGAAGAGATTAACATATGTAGAAAAACATAATTATGAATGCTTTAGATATCATATAATTTCAAGAGATTACTGTTTTTTTTTTATAGAAGAAGTATTTTGGCATTTGTTTGCAAATTAAAATACACGGAAATGAATATTGCCATTGTCTGTCTTCCATAATTTACATGTCACCATCCCGTTCTTTTCTTTTCTCATTGTATGTTTGTACATATGTTTATGCCTCTCATTTTTGCTATTGTATCATACATTTATTATTTTTTCACAACTATGACGACTTACTTATACTGTACGTCATGTACCATTGATGTTGGTGTTAGCGAAATAAGTGAACTTTTAAAAACTCAGTATGTAATTGTGGATAAACTATACGTACATGTACAGATACGTTGTAACTAGTATATTTTCTTATTGTTATGATCAGAAGTTAGTCATATATCTCTGATTAATATTAAAAAAATGTTCCCTATTTGGCCCTATCTCAATATTATTTCTTCAATTGTATTGAGTGAACTTAATTAATTCAACCCCTTACAAGAATATTTCCTCAAATCCATATTCTACTTTCAACCTCATGTATTCTATCCATCAAAGATAATTGTGAAATTATTATCATTAAATATTTCTTTAAACATTATGATAATAATTTCACAATAATAACTTGATATTTGAGAGAGAGAGAGAGAGAGAGAGAGAGAGAGATTAAAGTGCGATTAAAGATACATATTGCAATGGAATACAGAGTGTATTTGTGAAAAAAAATGATATCACAAGGTTGTACGACGAAAATAAACTGCACAGAAATTGACAACTGATTGAACGTTTTAGGAATCGCCTTAGGTAATAAACATATCTTGAAAATAAGATCAGTTGATTATTTTGTCGGCTTATTTATTAAATATGATATACAATGACATTTAGAATGGGATTTAAACAAAAGTACACAATTATAAGTAACATACAAGAATATATAACTATAAGTAGTTGTTTGACTTCTTGAAATTTATTACATGAGGGAATTATACAAGAAACGTGTTCATAAACAATCGTACAAAAGCATGATTTGAGGAAAAAAAACTCTCGAGCAAGAAGATAGGTGTCATTAAAATAATATCATTTTATATGTAAATAACAAGAGTTATTAATTTAGGATTTATTTTTGGGTTAATTTGTTTCTCAAACTTAATTTTCCTTAACGTTCTTACGCACACTAGTATCTACCATATTTTACATAAACATCAAAACAAATTTACCTGCACTTTGTCAGCAAATTCATACTTTCCTCCTCCCAAACTTTTCCAGACAAATCAGAACATTTATATTGCAGAGTTCTTGCATATTTCGCACACTAAGAGAATTTATCATTTTCACACATTGAACAGAAATGAAAATATATCCTCTTTAAGTTTAAAACAGTTAAATGCATGACTAATTAATGCATTTTGTTGACGTACACACATTGTGTGTAACGGTGCATATACAACATCTGGATAATCACGCTTCAACAGTTAATTCAAGTGCAACTTAAGAAAGCACTGCGCATTTTTTAATGTGTGACAGTTGTGAAAAGGAATTTATTAGTAAAATTTATAAAACGGGAGATAAAACAAGATCACAATTATTTTAAGTTGCATTTATATTAGTTAAGAATTTGTTAGAAAGTAATGAAAATACATAGAAAAAAGACATTTAAAGAATGATTTTAAGTTTATTTTGAGTTATTGGTGTATATTTACATCCAATGAATATTATCTCCTTCATTTCTTAAATAAACCTTACGCGGGTTATGTATATTGTCTGCAACAGCTTCAACATCAATTCCCGTACTTACAACCAAAGAAAGCATTTTATTGTTTAAAAGAATCACACAGACTTGTGACATAGGCATATTTCATGAAAAAAATATGCCCACGTGCAAGTCTGTGTGATTTACCCACCAATAACTCACACAAAACTTAAAAACAATCCTTATATTTACGCATACATTTTCATGTTTAAAAGCAGCAAAAATACACTCAATGTTTGAATTTCTCCCTGCCCTATCGTTATGTTGTTATCAACGTCTCTGTTGCTTCATTGTGACGTCACTTTAGTGCGAGTTTCTACTATCAGCCATCGTTAATTTCAGATGGCTGAAACACACAATAAAATATCCAAAATAAGATTAGACATACACATGAAGAAAATATTTTATACACAATTCTATTAAACAATAAGTCAATATAGTAGGGGAAAACTCAAAAAATATGTATACAAAATTTACATATACATCAATGCCAAGGCATTGTACCTTGGTGGAGTCGGCAAAACTTCTTAGAATAGATAACAATAATTGCAGTAAAAATAACACATCAAAAACAATCACAAATTTAAACAGTTCAACTTCAAATAAGTACGCTTAACCCAGATTGAAAACTTATCACAAAAATATCACTGTCGATGACGTAACTCCTTCCGCTTTTTCACATTTGAAAAAAAAAGGTTTCTCACTGTTCCACAAGGTCGACACCTTTATTCAACGAAACATTTAATAAATAAGACAGATCTTTTTCAACGGGATGTAAAGACAATGTATCTGTACATATACATGAAATATGTGGAGATAACGAACAGTATTCGAACTCAAAATCCGTTAAACATTAATAATAGGAGCAGAGGAAACACGGACCTCTAAGACATCAGAGGTGGTATCAGGTGCTATGGAGGAGTGAGCATCCCCTGCCGACCGGTCACACCCGCCGTGTGCTCTTTGTCATGATCGGGAAATTACGGAAAAATCCGCCGACAATTCAGTGTGTAAATAATAGCCTAACACTTAATATGAAAAACGTCAGTCAGCATTTGACTTAATGATAGATTGTATTTGCTGACAAGGTCATTGTATCGACCATAGAACTTACGAAATGATGACTTTAAACGAGACTGCTGATATTCTTGTTTCATCAATTTGTTTGTCAATAACTTTCCTCGTTTTAGAAATTGTTCATACGTAGAGCATGCTCTGGCGTATCAATCAACTGAGAGACATAAACCCCGTATGTAGGTCATAAGGGTATATTGCTGCATAGGTAGGGGAGTTGACGATTGAAAAGTTAAAGTCATCACGTTTATCATAAAGCTTTGTTGTTAGATTACCATTAACGTCTTTTTCCAATAAAATATCCAAATATGAAACAGATGTGTCAGACTCTGTGGTATCTTTTATCTCAAGCTCACCGGGATATATCGTGTCGACAAAAGAATGGAAATAACCATTGTTAATTGACAATACGTCGTCGATATATCTAAATGTTGAATTGAAGGTCACAGCAAGTGTTATCTTCTTTTCACGTAAAAGATTTTGAACAAATTCTACTTCATATGAATACAAAAAAGGTCTGCTAATAACGGGGCGCAATTGGTACCCATGGGAATTCCAATAGATTGTTGAAAGACCTGGTCTCCAAAAACCACATAGATATTGTCAATCAGAAACACGAGCATCTTTTTAATTTCAACTTCAGAGTACTTGTGTGTACAATCAGATTGTTTTTTAACAAAATAATTTTGCAAATGACCAATGACAAGGAAAGTAAATTTACGAGTTCCATTTTTATTGAAAAAGCAGCTGTCAACGAAGTCAGAAAGTCTGGACTTTAATTTATCGTGGGGAATTGTTGTACATAGAGTTGAAAAGTTTCAAGTTTTATGTTGTTGATTTTGGTAAAATTTTGTGATTTCAAATGTTCCAAAAGTTCCTTGGAATTTTTTAGTATCCACATCTGATTTACATCACTTCTCAAATATATTGTTGCACAGTACTCTTGAAGTTTCTCTTTCACTACTGTTAATATCTTAGTGAGGAGTAAAGAAAGAGGCTTGGTAGAACATTTACTGGAACCCGCTATGTATCTTTGTAAGGATTTTTAGGAAGTTTTGGAATCCAGTATAGATATGGTAGTTCAAATTCATTTTTGGTTTTTGGGAATATTAAAAACATTCAAAACTGAAATATGATTTTGAAGAATTTCCTCCTTAGAAAGGGAGCTATTGGTATAAGTTGGATTACCACTTGTAGAATTAAATCCCAGTTTTTTTTTTCTAAATAATCAAAATTAAATTATTGCCATGTTTTATTTCAAAAACAAAAAGAACTTTGATAGAATTTTTTTTAAAAAAATACCCCCCTCCCTATTTTTTTAAATGCTTTACTGTGTCAGCAGAGAAAAAATTTCTTCCAAATTAATTGTAATTTTCAAGCTGTTGTTTGTAGCATAAAATACTTAAGAAATGACTATACAGTATCAAAAAATTTGGTGAGTTTATCAAAAAATTAAACTGAGTAAAATGTTTACTCAGCTTTGTAAGGGTAATATAACTATGTGCTAACACGATGTATCTTCCATAAATTTTGAGTCATTTTTTCCTGCATTATTAGTTCAGAAACTTTATTGAAGTAGCTGTTACTTTGTTGATAACAAGCACATGCAAAAACAAACAATTATACATGTAAACAGTGCAACCGTAAAATAATAACATTTTTCTCCTCCGTTTTTTCTTAATTATCCTGTCATCGACATGTGTAACAAGAGAGAAAAACCTTCCCACTTCCTCCAGAATTTAATAGTAACAACAGTGACTAGGGACAAGCCACTTATTTAATAATAATTATTAAATAAGTAATTATTGCTTCTGGTTTTAATTTATTCTTTGACCTTGGTTGAAAAATGTAATTCAAGATGTCGTGTACCAATGTATATTGATTACCTTCATACAGTATTGCTTTCGTTCTCTTTAGGTCATTTGGAAGCGTGCTATCTTGTAAATATTTGTACATGAGTTTAAAATAGGGACAATATTGTCGTTTTTCTTTACTTTTGTCATTCTGGTTTCCAACATTGCTATTTTGTTTTTCCATTTCGGATAGAGTGTCATTCATTTCATTTCCAAGGAACAGTATTGTGCCATATATTTATGAACAAACGTCGGCGACGTCACGTAAATTGACGTAAACAGATGAGCTACAGGGAATGTTATAGCCATAACAGGACACTAAATATTGATAATAAAATAATAAAACTTACCTTAATATTTTGTAATATTGCCCTTGGCACTGACTACAAGTCTTGTACGTAGGTTGTTTGGATGGCTGTCCAAATATGGCGAATTTCACGTTCCAGGTCCGAAGCATTGTTTATATTTAAAATTCGTTGCCTCAATTTATTTTTTAATAACAACGGTCAACAGTTTTCTTTTATATTACAATCGGGTAATTGTGCTGGCCATGTCATCCAGTTAATGGCATTTTTCTGCTTAAATTCAGTAACAATCCGGGCCCGATGAACGGGCGCGCTGTCACCTTGAAAATTAAAATTGTTTGTTGGAAAATGCCGAGCTACAGAGGGCCAAAGTTCTGAATCAAGTATGTCTATGTATTTTTGTGCAATGATATTACCATCTTAGACACAAATTGTCCCTACACCATGTCAAGTTATGCATCCCCAGATCATCAAACTTACTTTGACTGGCGGACCAGGACATAAACACTCGGGCATCCATTCTTCACCGGACGTCTCCATACATACACACGGTTACTTTCTCCTATTCTTACCTAACATTCATCTGTGAATATCACTCTATCCCATTATCCTTCAACTCTCCACAATCTCTTTCCTCTTGCCCACGTCACACGTTTTATTGCGGTTCTCGTCGCGAATACGGACCTTCTTTCCTAATTCTCCTATGATAATTATTTTCATGAATACAATCGTCTCTTGACTGTTCTCTGTGAAACATGAGAATGCCTACCCTGATTGATAATATCGGTAATGCCAGCTAACGGAACAGTACGTTTGGTTTTTTACAACTCTTAGAAGTTTCGTAGTTTCGCGGTCGTCCATCTTTCGTTTTCTGCCACTTCTTTGGGACTTTTCCACCGAACCTCTAGCTAAATAGCGTTGTACAACTGCATACACACTGTTCCGAGGAATGTTCAACTCACGGCCTATTGCTGCATATTTTTGTCCTAACAGATATTTGTCAACAATCATTTGTTTCACAGGGGTAGAAAATTCTTTGCATTTCCCCATGTTTACATTGACGAGACATTTTCGTTTTCAGCTGACGTCATATTTTACAAATGACGTCATTGATCGATAGTGGAAATTGCTGGCTATTTATAGAAGTAAGAATCTTGTATGGTATGATTGTGTAATTGCGAGAAACCTTTTTAATGATTGTTTAAAAATCATAACGCTATTTTTACATTTCTTCATAAATATATGGCATAATACTGTATGTTGCTGATTGTAATTCGGAAATATAAGTGTAACCTCCATTATCTCATGCAGACACTGCACAAAATACGAGGGGTGATCAAAAAGTTCGCGAATTATCTCTATATTTACAAAACCACAATTCAGATCAGAATGAATTTGG